ATGGGCTTAAAACTGTCTTTTCTGAGAAATGTGCGACAGTAAACCTCATCTGAAAGAATAATTTATAGCTTAATCAACTCTGATTTTAAAGATTAAATATTATAAGTTTTGAGTTAAGTGGAATTGAAGGAGACTTTAAAGACATCAAGGTGGTGGTTTTACAGCAATGACACCATGTTAACCTTTGTTTGTTTGCGTTATGAGCCTTGCTCTGGATTCAATATCGCGTGTATATAACGTGTGAATACAGTCTATTAGTCAATTCACAGGGAAAGTAAGTTTAATTTGCCCAGCCACACTTACACAAATGACATCAATAACACTATAAATCCTGGAGAAAACAAATAAAACAAAATCAAAAACAAACCAAGATGAAATGAAAAAAAAAAAAAACCAGAATCAAAGCAAAATCAAACCAGAATGAAATTGAAATCAGTCAAGATAAAATACAAGTTTTAAATCCACTCTTTTTCAAAGAAAGGTAAAATCTTGATAAATGATATCCATGATATGTTATAAGATAGAGAAACTCTCTCTAAAAACAGAGCATTTCAGGAATGAATGCATTTTATCACCATAAATTATCCATTTTTCACATAAATTAACTGATAGAAGATAGCTATGTATTTCTATCCTAGTAACAAATTATTGTGAAGATCAAGTCTATAAATATAATCCAATTATCACTGAACTGTCTGTGTCCTTACAACATAAATATTTATCAACACTGCTTTTCAATCTTTGAAGTCATTATATCAATACAGTACTTTAACTTTCATTATAGGGTCTTTTTTCTCATTAATCATTTCTTTCCAAACTTTCACAGAAACTGTTAAGGTAAATTTATGAGAAATTAGTTCTTCTACCACACACAGAATGTCCAAATTTCATAGCAGTTCTGTCACATTAAGACAGAAATCGTATTCCACAAAAATTTGGTACTTAAAAGCTATGTCTGACTTGAACAAAATTAAATGCAGTTAAAAATGTCAATGTTGTCAGAATTTCAGAAGAATACTATAGGTGAAAGATTGTGAATATTCACTATACATTGTATGATATTTACATGGTGTAAAATGTAACAATATGAATGACAGTACTACAAACACAAACTAAATGTTAAAACTCTTGCTTTTTACGTTGACTTAATTCTATGTAAACTTCTATCGTCCAGCAAATTATTTATAATATGAATATTTGGGAATAAACAATTNCGGTATTTTTCATATTCAATTAGTTGGCCTGTAACACCTTGGTTCATCTCATATGTCATATTGGCAATAAGAGCAATCATAGTTAAATAAAGGATGCGGCAAATGGAAAATCATACAAACCAGAAAAAAAGAAAAGTAATATATACCCAGTTAAAGAGAGTGTGAAGGACTATTATCATTGAAGCATACAAATCAACAATTCATGGACATGGGAAACTTGTCTAAATCAATGATTTAAATCTATTGAAAGACTCTTTAAAGATATGGGAAATATCCAAGCATTATAAAGAGCTCCTGTATTGACTGTTAACCTGTGATAAGTTTGAGGTGATATGTATTAAACTACTAATCACACCATGTACTAACTGTATTTTAACTGTATTAAGTAAGTGGATAGTTGACTTGGCTTATATACAAGTCTTGTTCTTTTCAAGACCACAATTGAAATTGATAAATGATCTGCAAGATATCTATTCAGTTTTTAAGAATTATTTGTTGAACATTGAACATTGCTAAAAAGAAAACAAAATGAAAATCTTTTATAGCCATGGTTCGCCATTTTAGAGGGGTCTATTTTGAAATTGAATTCATGATAGTCTTCAGATACAAGAACTACACAAAAATTGCAAAATTCCTTCAAATATACCTCAATCTACTAATTTCTGTTTCTATTTCTTTCCTATATATAGCACAGGCTCAAGAAAAGACAAGTCGTCATTTTAACTTTCTCATTTTTAATACTCTATTACTGATTAGCGAACTAAAAAATTCTCCTGTGACTGAGAAAGAATTGGTAATACCAATGGCAAATCTGTTCCTTTAGTGTCCAAAATACTTCTCATGTAAAGCATGATAAAGGGTTTGCCCCTGAGGAAATTGTAGTAAAAAGTATAACTGGTTCGTCCTGAGGCTTTATTAGTATATCAAATGATTGGGCTTAGATTAGTAAGTAATATGTCATGAAAACAGATAAAAATTCTGATAATTGCCTTTTCATCAAAAAAATCATAGATTTTAGCTTAAAGGGATGTAGTCCTATAATTATAAGCTAATACAGATGATACAATTTTTAATAGAGGGATTAACAATTCAATTCCCAAAGGGACAGGTGTGCCATTCTTTCGTCCGATAATACTTTAGTCTCATAAACGGGAATTCTTTAGCTAAACCAATCAGTAATAGTGTTCATAGTTCACTGTCAAAATTAGAGCCTTCAAATCAATATGTTTCCAGAATTATCTGCCTCTGAATGTTAAAATTACAACTCGTCATTTTAAGACAATCTGTGATATATAGAAATAGTAAGTAAAATTCCTAGTTTGAAGAATTTTCAAAGGAATTATGTGATTTTCGTACATTTCTAGTACTTCTGAAGACTATTTACATTTATTCAAGACTAAAATCAACCCCACAAAACGCCGCTTCTGTCTCTTAAACAAGTTGTATGAATATAATGTGTTGAATCAGCAAATAAAAAGAAATAGGGCAAAGAAATCAGCCTTGCGACACAACCAGAAGTTGAATAGAATATTTAACTGTCTTTATATATAAATTGATTTTAGTGTAAAAATCTATTGTTATAACTTTCTTTGACTTCTCTTCAAACTCAAAATAACCTTTAACCTACTTAGTGTGTTCAATGTCAGAAAAAATAAAACCTTCTATACAACAAAACAAGAAAACATAATAATTTATCATTAAGGATTTTAAGAAATATTTAAACAGAACTTGAATCATGTTGTTACTCAGAGTTTCACACTATGCGAGCTTCAGACATAGTGTTCAACTCTGAGTAACAACATGATTTAAGTTCTGTTTTAATATTTCTATATCGTTCTACAATTGATGCATTAAGTCTTCTTTTAACAGTGAAAATATTTTATCATTGATTTGAAAATTATAACATTCCGTGAACAAGACTATAATTTTGGGCTTTCTATGGAATAAGAGGAAGAATGGGAGAGGGGCTCTTTAAATTCTTCAAATTGCTCTAAAATTGCTCTACTGTCTTAGCAAATGCGTTAGTATATAAAATTTTGAGTTAATTTAAATCTTAATTAGGAAGAAATACATTTCCCTCTCAGAAATTTCAATCCAAATGTCTATAATAAGCCTATTATAAATACTATAATAAAATTTGAAAATTTTGATATACCAATGAATTTGTGGAGACTGTATAGTTTAATCAAATTTTCCTAAGACGTTTTTCAATAGCTGTACTACATGAGTTATCTACCTTGAATCTGAATTCTGTCAAATTTTACTCATATAATAGTCAATATTTTGTCCCTTGGTTTAATCAATATAAAACTTTTTATTGTCACAGTAACCTCAACCAATAGGATATTGTTAAAGTAAAAAATAATTTATCACCAATATACAAGTTTTCATGATATGGCCCAAAGCTTTCAATGAAGAAAAACTAGAGCATCTTTGAATTAATTATGATAAAAAGACGTTGGAATGTGGTTTCACTGGACTTATTTTGTATAGAAACTTTGTTTCTTCCCCTCCATTGTATAATATTGTATAGATTTCTTTAGTGACCTTTATAACTTGTGCCTTGATATAATACCATCAGCTCAAATGATATAGGACACTACATTTTAAATAAAAGAAACTCACTTTTTGGTACATTAATTGTGACCTTGAGAGAAAAATTGCTTGTTTGGTGTTTTTTTTTTATATCAGGGTTGTTACTTAGTTCATATTTGCCAGTCATAGGATAATACTATCCATTTGTGCAAAAGAGCGCAATTTGCCAGGAATAACTTTAGTTGAAATGGCTAAAACTAGTCCAAAAGTTCAAATTGGTCACAATGGGCCTGGCTTTTTAAAACAGTATGCTATTAATTCAATCAGACAAGATCGGCAAATACAGGCATATGAATTAGTACCAGAGTTTTATTCTGTTATAATGTTTTTATACTGTTCAAGATATAATATATTGTTCTGTAACATCTGGAAGATATGTGATTATTATTCTTCTACCATATTCTCCTAGTAAATCAAATCTTGTGTAAGTTAACCTAACCTAAGGTACCAGGTACACCATCTAGGGGTTGTGAACTCCAGAACTTTTTATGTTTACTTGTGTGAATTTTTTTTTCACATATGAAGTAACTAAGAGATTGCAAACCCAATGTTTTCTTTTTAAGTCTTGTTAATTAAAAAATGATGTAAATATTAGCCAACTCTGGCTTATTAAACCAAATTTTAAAACATGCTTTAATTGAATTATATATTCATGTAAATTGTTTGGGATAATATTTCTCAAGAGTTATGCTGGCAATCAGACAATAAAACCAAACCTATTGAAAAAGGCTACATTCACTGATTACAAATAGTTTTACTTAAACTGTGTATATTCAGGTAACAGAATCTTTCTCTTTCTTGCTTTAAAAGCTATATTTTGTACCAAATAGAACATTTAATACCATTCCAATCTGATTATATTATTTCTGTATCATTCCGATTTTTCTGAACTTGTTTTATACAATATAGGATGAGTAATCTATGATAGAAAGAAGAATTCAGATCAGTTTCAAGATGTTAACAGTTGGACAATAGAATGCCAAAGTTGTCTGTTTTCAATTATCAAAGGTAAAACATGTGTTAACTCTGTAGGGGTTATACTTACACAAGTTTTTATGAATCACAAAGCAAGTTTAGACTTTGAATACAGACTCTAAAATTTATTACTTCTTTGACATAAAATTTCATGGTTTTAAAGAATCCAAGATAGGATATCTTTCTTCATATTTTCATGAGAGACTTTTTTCTTTCTTAGAATCTGGTCATGTATTTCTAGAATAGAATTACAAGAATCACAGACATGGAGGAAGAAATCGGAACAGCACAAATAGGGGTCATGAGCGTTCTTGATAAACAGACCTAGCCTAGACAACTTATTATGAATTCCTTGAAATGTAAACCACAATCACAAGATCCAATTGTTTTTGTCTGATCAACAAGAATTTAAAGTGATAATACATCTTAGAATTAACATAAAATTGAAGAATTTTAAACTTGGCGAATAAGAGTCAGTTGATATAACATAACAGGATCCTTATATAATCCGATAAATCCAAAAAACTTAGTAATTATCCATAAATATGCAATTAACTATTGAAAAACGCTTAATATCATGATTACGTGTTTTTCAATAATTACTTGGTTTTATGAATTTTCCAATTTTCTAGATTTTACGGGGATTCTGTTGTAACTTTATGACACCAGGTAAGCTTACTGATGAATATATACTCATATTGACCATTTTGGGAACTTAAATTTTACGTTCATTCTAAGACGTAGCATCACTTTAAGATAACATAAAGAGACCTTCCTAGAATCGGTTTTGACAATAACTTCAGATGGATTTAAAATTTTGACAAGCTTTACTTCTTCAGAAACTGAACACAAAACAGAAGCCTATAAAAATTGAAATGGGATTGGCAGACAAATTGTAATATGATGTATTGTTTTAATGGGTTTTTGTGAAAGCTTTGATGAGAAAAACAAAGAAAACAAAGCTCATCTCACCTGGTTTAAAATAACTAGCGGTACTAGAAGATGTTGTTCAGCTGTTACAGGGTGATGATTACATACAAATGATTCATATAGTCATATAACTTTTTAACAATCAAGATTCCATCAAAATCAGTCAAGAATTGTGCTTTCTTGAGTGTTTACAAGCTATACATGCAATGAGCATCATTTTCAATAGGGTTCATCCTTTGGTGATAATAAACAATTTTACCAAGTTCATCAAAATCTGTAAAGAATCACGCCTTCTAGAGTGTTTACATGCAAAAGTTCAGTGTGCAATTTCAGAACAAGGGCAATAACTCATATACATAAGTTTTAAATTTTTCTGATTTCCATAAGGTTCATCCTTGGATGATATAAACAATTTCACCAAGCTTCATCTAAAACCGTCAAGAATTTTGCCTTTTAGACTGTTTGTGGATGTATCGACGGATATAGGTGACGCCAATATATCCTCCACATTTCATGCTTGTATATAAAACAAACAATTAAAGGGATACAGTAACTTAAGATTATAAATGTCATTAAATTTAGTAGAATAACTTTCTGTGAATAACCAACCATGGTTCTAATAGATACTGAGTAGTCAAGCTAGGTTGTAACAAGCTTAGAAGTAACAGAACTTTTCAACACCTTCTCAATCACAAGTAATCTTGAATAACAAGTTCAATTCCTCCCTACTTTCAGTTGGAACACAGCTAATCAAAAAAATTACAACGAAGCTATCTCAGATGCATTTGATTGATAGAACATTTATGAAGAATGCACATCGTTGCCTTCGTGTTAGTATGGAATATCAGTCAAATGTCTAAATTGGTTGATATGTCAGGTAAAACCATTAGATATCAAATAGTTTTACTGACCTACTTACATCTGTCAAGAAACTTCTCATTAGAACTCAAGTAAAAAAATAAACTATTTGATCACTGGTTTCAAACCAACTACTGTAGCTACTACATTCTGGCATTTTACCAGGTGTAAAATTTCAGGTCCCAATTTTTTTAATATGACCAAAGTTTCAGAGGCTCTGTCACTGTCAGCCCATCTGACTAGCATTTCAATAAATCTGACATTTACGTCAATCACCAATCACAATCTTTGTTTACTCACTGAGCTAGTGAGAAAGTGAAATTGTATTTCTGAGTTGTTGTATTGCATGTTTATCATTCTTGGCACAAGTAAAATGAGTCAATAAAAATATTTACTGTTAATTATCATGCACCATTTAAGAACTTCAATGTGAATGATATACATGCTGATGTTTCTTGATTACCATTTTATGATTTTTGCATATTTTCTTGTGTGTGTATGTGTGACTGCAAAATCCTGAATTTTTATTATTTTAGTCGCTTTTTTCAGAATGAATGTTGAATATTCTATTTTAGTTTCTTTCTGGATCACAAGTCACAAGAAAACAACATATTCCTAGCAAAAAGGTGAAATGTTACCAAAACAAAAAATTCTTACCCCTTTCTGGAATCCAATAGAGACATTGAGACAGAATTCAGGGGCACTCCAATATTGTTTATTCAACAATTTCATAACAGAATCTTTACTTTTACACAGACAACAAAAACAGCACCCACATTTATCACAGGGCTGTGCAGGCCCTAAAACTCTTGATGGTGGTCCAATATATCTCGTCTTCTGTTTAGGTGTATGATTCCATTTATGAAGAACTGATGATAGTCTCCTTTCAGGTTCAAAATATCTATTACCAATACTTGACTCCACTGTAAATTCCCTGGGTGGACTCGTTTGGACTCGCAATGTTCTCTGTGGACTCAGAGAACGCACTTGAGAAAATAGTGGAGTTATGGTATTCTTTGCCATTGTGATTTAAAGAAGACCGTGTGTAAGTCCTTGTTAAAATTCACCTCCAGCGAAGAATTCAAAAACTAATCATGAATCAATTCTAGGCTAATGAACTACTCCAAAATATCTATCACAATCCTGTCAGGTTAAATTTCACCTTCAAAAATCTGATCCTAAAAGAATATAATTATCCTCCTGTTAAATCAATCAATTCGAAGGTGTAGTAAGAAAATACTCAGAATCAGGTTATTCAAACATGGCAGTCAAAATTAACATGAATAATCTCGAAATTATCTCAGACTTCTGACCAGTTCTTATCATAAAACATCCCTCAATCAGGTTCCTCCTCAACATGTGTAACCTTCCTGTTTATCTTTGTCCAAAAATAAAAGTTAAAATGAGTGAAAGTTGATACCAATAAGATTTACTCATTCATTTAGTCCGTCTGCTACTGCCATAATGTGGCATTCTGGGTAAAAAAAGAAGAATTCATCCAATCTGTGCTTTTCTTCTCATATCTTCCTTCCTGAGTTTTTCTGACTTCCTTTCCAGATGTCAATGACAACAAACTAAAGCTACGAGATCCACCCTCATATATCAGTATATAAAAGTAGGCCTTAGACAAACCAACCACAATCGTCTGCTATCAGGAATATTGTAACACCAGATGTACAATTACTTAGTGAGTGCCAGAAATGCACAGATGTAAACTTATCAATGCACCCAAAATAAGTTATCAGGTCAACTTAAACTTGGAACCATTTCCAATTTCGTGAAAGAATCAGGAATTCTTCAGACTGGAGTTTAGACATACACATTAATGATTATGGAAGTTAAACAAATAGCAAATATCTCATTCCTGGAATTTGGTTCCATTCCAAGACGAGGAATTTACCAATAAATTATTTGACCACACAGTAGCAGACACGAATTAGCTTCCACAAATGTCAAGATGGCAACTTTCTATTTTTACCAAATGAAATATTTTATCAGTGCTGACCAAACCACCATTATTTTTACCATTTAGCTACTAGTATACTAATCAAACCTATATGAAAGGCAATAAATTTATTAATTACAATTAATATGTAAACATTCAATCCATCACTTAAAACTATATATTACATTTGTACAGGCACAAATGCACAATTTGTATAACTGTGAGTAGCATAAACCAATGGTTGTATAACTGAGAGTAGCACAAACCAATGGTTGTATAACTGAGAGTAGCACAAACCAATGGTTGTATAACTGAGAGTAGCACAAACCAACTGTGACAGAACCAAATCATTTAGACATGTCATGTAATCATATTCTGATAATTTGTTTATAAATACTGCAACAAGTTGTTTTGTCTAAGAAAATAAAAGGTAAACTGATAAATAATAATTGAATATAAGAGAATCTGTGCCAGTAAATTGAATGTCTGGTATATTTGACCTGTGATAACAGATGGTGTAGGTGAAGGTTAGGATTAGATAGGTCAGTTAGACTGGCAATACTAATTACTAGCAGCTCATCTAGACTATAATATATCAAATAGTTCAAAACTTCCTCCATATATCAATCATTGATTAGTTTAATTTATCTTCCCTAAAACTTTAATTCTCCTGTTAAATAAGTTTACTTATAGTATCTAGTATTTCTAATACTGACAGATTTCTGTTCAACTCTCCTGTTCAATAAGTTTATAGTCTATCCATGTCTAATACTTTCAATTATAATCCTGACAGAATCTTGAATTTCTTTAATTCTCCTGTTCAATAAGTTTACTTAAGATTCTTACCCACATCCCGTATTTCTAATCCTGACAGAATCTTGATTTTCTGTTCAATTCTCCTGTTCAATAAGTTTACTTACAGTCTACCCATGCCTAATATTCCTATTTCTAATACTGACAGAATTTCTGTTCATATCTCCTGTTCAATAAGTTTATAGTCTACCCATGTCTAATTCTTCCAATTCTAATCCTGATAGAATCTTGAATTTCTGTTCAATTCTTCTGTTTAATAAGTTTATAGTCTACTCATTTCCAATAATCCTAATTCTGAATGTTGATTTTCTGTTTCTCAATATTCATGTATAAATGATATACAATTATTATAGTATTCACTTTCAAATCTAATTTTCAACTCAACCCTCTAAATATTTTTATTTTATTTGTCCTCTAGTTATCTATGAACTTTCCAAATGCCCTTTATAACCTTAAAATAGGATATCAATTTTATCTTAGTAAATCAGAGAGACAGATCAGAAGAAAAGTCATCACAACTTTTGAAATGAGCTTCATTTTAAAGAAGGTGATTGAACAGAAAAACAAATAAGCTGACAAATTTCTTTCCTATCAAATTACCATCTCTCTATACAAAATGTTTATTTACCCAGTTTCAAATGTTAGCAATAAAAAGCACACCATTAATCTCTAATTGGATTTAAGCAGACTCTGTCAGGGAACAGAAAAAGAGTGCATTACCAACATCTACACTGAAAGTCAATCTACCAAATAAACCTCTCATGAACTTATGAATTTTCTTCTTGTAGAGAATATTGTCAGGAAGTATTGCTACCTTACTTGGAACTGTCTGATTGCCACTCTGAAGACTGTAAGCCACTTCTACCAAATATTGAGCTCTTCAGTTATTTAAGGTTTACTTCCTCTTAAGATGAAAAAATGAAAATTTGAAAATTGACCAAAAGGATTCTTTGTTCATCAATGGATTTACTTGGTGTCATAACTATACAACACAATCCCTCTATAATCCAATAAATTCATTAAACTAAGTAATACATTCATTAAACTAAGTAAAAGTTCATTAAACTAAGTAATACATTCATTAAACTAAGTAATTTTGAAACATGCTTAGAAGTGTGTTTCAATAATTATTTAGTTTAATAGATATATTGCCTTATATAGAGATTCTATTCTTTAGTCATGGCACCTAATAAGTCTAACTGATGAATATATACACTTGTTGACCACCTTTAAGACTTTCAATTTTATGTCCATTCTAAGAGGTAGTATTACTTTAAAGGATAATAATTAAACAATGGGTTCATGTAATGTGTATCAATTTAAGTCACCTAGCATAAATCTAACAAACTTGTAATAATTCAAATCTGAAAAATCTGTACGGTCTAAAGATTTGACAAGTAAACATATACCTCAGTTACAATTTAAATAGAAATTGATGTAATCCTAGATGTAAACTATTCTATTTCCTTGTCTAAAATTGATGTAAGACAGAATCATACATGTATACAGATTACATGTTAAACATCTGTTGAGAGAAAAACTTGTATAACATTAAATCATCAATCACCACACCTTTCATTTTTTTATTCCATGATTCCTGGCAATTAAAAACTACAAAAGACATCCTGCTATTTTCTAAATTTTTTAACTATTTATTCCACTTTGTTCTTGTCTTGGATAGAGAAACATAATCTTCATGTACACTTAAAATTACAAGAATTATCTTTATGTATCACTTTGTATACACTTACATGTACATATATTATCATTAGTTATATCTTTGAGTACACTTACATGCATTACCTTTATTTAACATTTTAAGTACACTTATATGTACATGTATTATCTTTTGTTATCACTTCTTGAACACTTATATGTACATGTATTATCTTTTGTTATCACTTCTTGAACACTTATATGTACATGTATTATCTTTTGTTATCACTTCTTGAACACTTATATGTACATGTATTATCTTTTGTTATCACTTCTTGAACACTTATATGTACATGTATTATCTTTTGTTATCACTTCTTGAACACTTATATGTACATGTATTATCTTTTGTTATCACTTCTTGAACACTTATATGTACATGTATAATCTTTTGTTATCAATCCTTGAACACTTATATGTACATGTATTATCTTTTGTTATCACTTCTTGAACACTTATATGTACATGAATTATCTTTTGTTATCACTTCTTGAACACTTATATGTACATGAATTATCTTTTGTTATCAATCCTTGAACACTTATATGTACATGAATTATCTTTAATTATCACATCATGTACACTTATAAGTACATGCATTATTTTTATGTACATGTATTATATTTAGTTATCACTTCATGAACATTGTACATGTATTATCTTTAGTTATCACTTCATGAACATTACATGTACATGTATTATCTTTAGTTATAACTTCATGTAGGGTACATACATATGTTCAATTATCACATATTTGATGTTCATTATTTCACATAAAGTCAAGACTTATTCCAAAGTTATTCCTCTTGAAAACTCGAAAACTTCCCTAAAAATCTCCTAAGAATAGTCCTCATCCTCTACAATTATATTCAATAAACAACTTTTGTTTCTACTCAGATGAAACCACACAATCTGAAGATTTGAATATCATTATTATCTACAACAATTAAACTTTCAAATATCATAAATAACCCTTTATTAAAACAATGTCACCATCAAAACCTTAGACACATTAATCCTAATTATCAATCAAATCAAATTCTAACCTTTGAACACAATAAATCAAATTACCTGTATAGAAGTATATTATAATATGATCTAGAAAATATCTGATATTAATTATTTATGTGGTATTTAACCTGTATATTTAATCATCTTATATAATATAATATAATTGATGTATATTATAAGTTGTTTACTGTGGAAGATTAAGAAATGTTATACTATCAATATTGCTATGATTGAACTAATCAATGTAAATTTTGATTATGACTTTGGACATGAAAAAATCGATATATCTGAATTATAAATATTTTAGCAATAGCCAAGTTTCAAAAATATTTACAGAGGTATTGATCATTGGTTGAAATTGGTTAAGCGGCACCAACACGCTACTCACTTGCAATATTTCAAGAAATCTTTTGAACAGGACTGCAACAATTCTGAAAGTTGCGATTTGATACACTAAATGATACTCATCCAATGATAGGATTTATTGATATAATAATCACAAATCATTCAATAGATAATGAAAGAGAGGAATAGTAGA